AAAAATTTCGGGCTGGAAAAGTATCACAACCGAAATGCAAGCTAGTCGGCATGCAATGAACTCGTAACAGTTGTCTTGTCGCGACTGAATCGCGACGATCAAATCGCGTGAACTCTGTCCGAGGCCTAAAGGAGTTCTTATGATGCTTTTGCTTGCAAAGAAGAGTACCTAGCTGTATAGGTCGGGCTAATGCTGTTGATGAAGAAAATGCAAAGTTTATCCAATATATCACGCTTGCAGAGTTTTTGTTTGATTTAAACTGCGATAAGGTGTGTGTTTGATAAATGGTCATTTACACAAGTGCAACAGATACGAAAAAAACAAGAATTTTAGGGCGGCTAAAATTACACATGGGTGGCAATGCTATCCGATGGATCGAATTCTTCCCAAAACTTCAACTTCGCCTGTTTCAAGGGGATTCACATGAAAATCTGATGCATACCAGTTTTCAAAAAAAGCTCTGCTAGTTTGGTCCAAACGATTTTCGTGGAATTAGGGTGGGATACTGGAGATGTAATTACAACGCACTAACTATTAGACCCTAATGTTTTTTGTGGATAAGCATGCATGGAAAAACAAAAATACGTGCTACTTTTTTTGGAAAGCCTCGGTAGTCAGTCTTATTTTCGTCTTTTACACTGAAAGCTGGATTTTTTGGGGTATCCTAGCAGTAAGAGTATGAAATATTTGCAAACTCAGCATTTAATTATATAAATTCGGAAAACGGAAGAGATCTGAACACAGTTCTTTTTCATAGCCAACCGAATTTTTTAAATTGATTTTTCGATTAAAAAACAAGATTGCAGCACAAGCGGTCCAGGGTTTTTGCGGGGAGAGGATGAGGCAAAAGAGAAAAAGGGGAACATTAGCCCCCCCCCCCTCCCCGCGAAGATATTTTTTGAATACTTCTCAAATTTGCAGAATTTTCAAACTTATAAAATTTGAATAATTTTTGACGGTTTAAAGATACGAATGTTCCAGCTACCTTCAAAATTCAATTCAATATACGTCTCACTAATTAATCAAAGCAAAGAAAGGTCCGATTACAGCGAAATTTAAAAAAAATGCTTTAACAAAGCAAAGAAAAAACCTTTGATTAACAGCGAAATTAGAAGAAGTGCGAAGATGTACAGCAGAGTAAACACGATACTGTTAAGATGCTTCTACACCGAAATCAACAAAGAAGAGAAGATGAAGACTTTGTAAAGAAATTTCATCATTAAAAGCAAGCGAAGGACACGCAGACGAAGCCGTTATGATCGATGAGGCGTGAGAATTGTAAACAAAAAACCTCAAGCCTCTGCAATTAGTACAGAATTTTCAGTGAGATTGTCTTGTTTGGTATATCTTGGAAACCACATTTTTTTTCGGGATTATTTGCCAGTACTATTTTAATTTGAATAGCTTGAACAAGAGTAATAAAAAATGTTGATTGTGCGATTGCAGACATTTCCTATGGGCTAACCGAGTATATTCAGTTTCCGGTTGATTCATGCGCTATTTTGCGCTCTAAACGATAAAAATGGCATTGATAGAAGAATGCCACTAAAATGTTTACGATGACTAAGATGTCCTAGTTTGAACTAACAAAAAGCAAGAGAGACGACATAATGGACGGTTGAAGGGGGAGTAGACCGAAAACATTTCCGCCAGAACAAAGGGAGACGGGAGGGGAGGGGGGGGGGGGGGGGTGACGGGGAGGAAAAGCAGATAACAGGAAACAAAAACACACAAGCATATTGGAAAAAAACCATTAAGTTCCAAATTTTCGCCCAAATACGTGTAAAAACGTGCCCATGGCGAAAAAAAGCGCCAAATTTCAAAGTTCAAAGGACTACAATCAATAATCTCGTAAATAGAGCACATTATCCAGTCGATCACAAACAAAAAGTACAGAAATGTGTTACTACGCTTGTCAATGCGACTAATCGAACCTGACAGTGAAGTGAGATGAGTCAGCCCGAGCGGAACTTGCGCTCATCAATGATCGGAACGACCTTTCTCGTACCGCTCATCTCTCTCATCAAGATGATACGAGTGTCGGAGTTATCATTGTCATGATAGTAAAAAACAGTACGGGGCCCCGTTTATGTGAGATCACGCACCTTTGTGGACATTAATCAGTGAAAATGAGCAAAGATGAAGTTTGGGTAAAACTACGGGTGGGAAGAGGTTCAGATTCAACGAGGACTCGACTAGCGCCGAATCCATCACGTGGTTTCTCTAATTTTCGACGCTCGGGCGTCACCTCATTCCCATTCCTCCGCCTCCACCCCCCCCCCCCCCTCCGTTCCCCGTCTCTACCCCCGCTACTTCATTTGAACAACATGCATGTGTTCAACACCGAGTCTCTCTGCGCTCTGGCTGACCAGACAGCTGATGTAGTCGGGGAATTCCTCTTGAAAAGCTTGGCAGCTCTGCAAGTGCAACCCGACTTAGACACACCCAACTTCATTTTTTTTTGTTTACTTGCACTTTCCTAGAATTCGTAGGAATGTGCTTGCGCAGCATAGCAGGGAAAGGCGCTAGTAACTCTCCAAAAAAAGAGAAACATTTGATAAAGAAGCGCGATTTTGAAGTCAGACCACCCATCACATAGCAAATCCTGTGTTTCATAACTTTTTAGAAGTATTTAATATTCCTAATAAAAATATACCAGATAGCTGCATCGGTTCTGCACCCATATCACCTTAATACGAAATCAATTTATGAAAATCGAAGTCCAACAGCCCTTGAAAATGCAAATACAGAATGTCTAAAATATTTAACTTAATTTCCTGCACATCCTCCAAAATCAGCAGGTGGTATCTTCAGACAATTAGTAAGATGAAACACTCTGTCTGATTTTCTGCAACCCCCCGCCCCTAATCTCGCTCCCCTTCCTGGGATTGGACCACGCAACTCTTTGAAAGTTGCCTCAGCCGTTCCGACATCGAGCAAGCAACTTGTTTTTTTATTTGAAAATTATGATCATAAGTTTTGGAAAAATTCAAAAGCGGCTTTGTAAATCGAATCATCGGAAGCATGACTGTGTGTGCCCTAATTCCCTTTTAATTTTGAAAGGAACTTCTCGGGAAAAGCTAGCCGAAGCCCCACAACTTTCGGAAAGAGGCCACCTTCGCGCCAATTCACGGAAAATTCCTCAACCCCCTTCCCCTCTTCTCCTTGATTTTCCCAGCATCGCCACTATCTCCTTGATGTCAAAGTACTGTATTCATCTTGGTATCCGAGGAACTGAAACAGAAGAATCTTTTTAAATGAAGGGCTAACATCTCTAACATTCCGAAGATTTTGCAGGCGCCTCAAAATTATGACAAAAGGGGAGTGACAGCACTTTTACAGAGTTAATTGAATTTTCTGAAATTTTCAGAGCTCATTCAAAACATCTATAAAAATAGGCAAGTCACTGCGCAATTTTTTACCCCACCCCTTGGTCCGCCAGTGGTTCCTATTTGAGGTGACTCCTTATCCACCAAACACAAACACATGTTGTTTCCGTTTTACGGCTGACCACTCGAAAGTTGCCTGTTCAAACACTAAAGTCAGCTCGGCGCTCTCAAAACTTCCTTATTTTTCACATGACTCACATGAAAGCAAATATTGTATGCGTGCTGTAATCAAACGCACACGCTGATAAACCGTATATATTCAGAGCTGTAAACATCGCAAGGATTTTCCTCAGAACTAGAGTAAGAACCCTGGTCGCGTAGCCTTTACACAAGCTACGTACAATGGTGCAATGTCAACAACTTTTCTATGAATCTGAGCGGAAAAGATGTTTGATGCTTCGACCATGCGATCGCTGATGTCATCGAACATATTTTGCGCATGTGGGAAGTATAGTACGATTATGCAAAGATGAAATGGAGATTGATATGGATCTATGAACAGTGGGACCAGTGGATTTGGCACATATGGACGGAATTTGAAGCACAAATGCAAATTTGAACAAATGCAGAGCGAATATAGGAGATAGGATTTGTAATCAGATCAAAAAGTGGATTTTTCCAATTTGGTTTTCATTTTCTGCCTTCTGCAGTAGAAGTTATACCCTCAATCCCAGAAAATTCACGAAGTTTTTTTTCATCAAGATCAAAAAATTCGATGCGTATTTCTATAAAACATTGTCATTCCAACAGATTTACGCCATCGAAAGCTTGTTCCTTCATCTCCATCATTCTAGCAATTTCTACTCCTGACAAATCGCTGCTACAAGAGATTTGAGACAGACGTTACAAAGTGCACTGGATCTCTGAGCAAAAAACAATTTCTTCGGATAAAGATCTCTCAGCAGCCTACTTCTAGAATTTCGGAAATCTCACATTTCACAGAATTTACGGAATAATCGCAGTCACGGTCGCAAACTTCACCTGTACACATTCCACAGAAGATTCAGGAACTTTGATAAGCATTCATGCATCAAAAAATTTGCCTGATTATTTGTAAAAAAATTATTCGTTGGGTTTAATAAGAAACAGACAAAACAGAAGACAAGTGGGAGATATAAGTGAAATTTTGTGGTGCGAGACGATTTTCTCGTTGAGCAATGATTGAGGTTTTGCACCTGCAGATATATGTAGAAGAATGCTTCCTTTTGAAATAATTTGCTAACACAAGAAACGAGATTCAATCTCACAATTTGGGTGAGAATTTTGTCGAAACCAAAAAAAGTAGTCAACAACTGGACAAATAGAAAAGACATCTGTCGGAAAAAACATGATGTAACACAAGATGAGCTACGAGAATCGGACCACGTATGCGCGCGATGAATAGGTTAACGACAAGTTTGCATTGCGCACACTCAAGATGAATCAAGGCACTGACCAAGTCGTAAATTCGTACAGGGCGGATACACTCAGATTCGATATGTATCGCATAGACTGCTTTAGTTTCTTGAGCATAGAGAAACCTCATAAATCTTTTATAGACAACAGTTGCATAAATAAACGATAAATGTCACAAATTATCCTTTTTCACTTCACCGTATAAAAATGAAAAAGGCATAGAGAAGGCGGTAATTACAACATTAACAAGTAAGTGCACACAGAGTGAGTGTTAGAAGATTAAGTATATCGAGATCAAATAATAATACTAACAACAACAACAAAATCAACAACGACGAATTGACACAAGTCAAACATCAGTTCTTACCAATACCGCATTGTCACCAACCTCCATATTGTGTCAAAATCATAGCTCAAAATCTAAAAGTATGGTAAAAGGCTGTGTCATGAGCTAAATTTTTACGAATTGAACGAAGAGAAGCTTACGTCACTTTGAGCATCTAGAGGTTCTCGTTTTGGAGGTGGTAACTCCGATGGTTCAAGGGCAGAGGAGATATCGGTTGTCTCCATTTCTATAAGAATTACGCTCTACTGATAAGGCAAGACTCCAAGGCATATCATCGTTGAGTTAAATCGACAGAAATAAACAGATTGCTATACATGCGCTTCAATTAGACGAGGCAATACAAGGTAGAATCTCCAAAAAAAAGAGAAGAAAATAAAAGCCAGTCTCCTCAAAACTAATACGAACCCGTGCGACTTGATCCGCGACTCTTAACTTGAGTCCTTCTTTCGCTGACATCGCTCTCCTCAGTAATCGAGTCATCGCTCTCTGAGCTGTACTCATCAGAGATAGTGCTATCACTTGTATACTTCAGTTCCTCACAATTTTCTGGATTAGCTTCGTTAATGCCGGAAGCTGCAAATCGTCTATAGAATGAGATGTACACGATGTGATGTAATGTGCTTTAATGCGTAAACCGATTACCACCAAGAAGCACGAGCTCAAAATAATGAACCCTAACATCTCACAACTCGTATAAAAACGCCAAAAGGGTTAAGGTAGGTCAACAGTGCATGAAACTGAGGCATGACAGAAAAGACGCACAAAATCAAAGCTCAAAAGAGAAAGAATGTTTATCTACAACAACTTATATGATGCTAAATTCAGAAGGTGTATCACACAAATGCATGCGGCTTACCCCAATTTCTTGGCAATCCTATCCGAACAATATCAACTTCATGAGCCTCAGATACATCTTCAGCAGCTGATATGTAATGAGTTTTAAACGAGCGATGGCCATCCTTCTGAATTCAAAAAGTTTCAGCAAAAAAGCAAAAAGACTTTCCTAGAGGCTACATGTAACGTTGTGGTCTTGATTGGATGTATTCTACCATCTACCATATACTCCTTGAGCTTTTCAAAACTGTAAAAAAAAAACTTTAGAAACTTATAAGGTGTCTATTAAAATACGTACTTTTCTCCATCAACAACTTGCATTTCAACCATCAAAAAAGCCGCGTAGAGAACCGCTTGAGATTCACCTGTAACGTTTTTTTGTTGATAAAATTCATTGCTCATCTTAACTACACAATTATACCTATGATTTTCGAAGACCATTCGATCAAAGCCAAAAAGGTCTGGCTCATCTCGGCTTGAGCTAGTCGCCAAGCATCTGTCGCAGCTTTTCGCGATGCAAATATCATGCGTAATCCCGAGTTCTCTGTATGCTGAAAAGAATCTGGTAGAAACAAACGGGAAGAATGCGCACAACACTACAAAAATGGGAGAATTTTCGATGCAAACTCGACCCTGCTTATGGCGATAATAACTAATTATCACTAACCAGCCCCATTCTTTTGTTGAGCCGTCTTAGTCTATCGTCATTCTCCTTCAAATGGATGACACCACCATTTGTCCAATTAGGACGAGGATAACGCTAATTATGAATCATTAGGGTTAACTAGAAGAAGGTGACACACAAACCTTATAATCATTGGCGCATGGAAATTTCGAAAACCATGTCGGTGAAGAATCTCCTTCACTGACACCCTCCAATGCTCCTTCTGCAAGTTCGCAATCCTGTAAACCAAAAATAGCTTGATCTCATGAGCGACAAATGCTCACCTCATAGCTGGCTTTGAACACTTTTACAGCCTCCTCATCAACGACTACTCTAATACGCTGTCTTTCATCTTCAGTCCTTCGTCTACCCAAGAATTCACGTAAAACGTTAGTTTGACTTTGCAAAGGAGCTGGAAACATATGACTCTAGAGGCTCCACTTAGTGAGTAAAGCGTACCGTATAGGGCGTTTTCATCATTTCGATTCGACAGCGCATCATGGGTATCTTCTGGGAACGGATTTGGTAAGGAAGTGCTCTGAAGCATATAACATGTCAGCAACGTCAAAAAATCGCCTGAGTATTAGGCTTTCATGCCAGAACCTTAGAATGAAAACATGATAGAAAAGAAAACAAAATAAACTCGATCTATGCAACACATTTTGAAAGGGGGAGCCGTGAGAAAAATGGCTAAAGGTGGTGGTTGTGGATGTTAAAGGACTGATTGAGAAGACTGATAATCTCATAACCTGAGCTTTACATTCTTTTGGCTATATCAGCAGACTGACACCGTCTATATTTGTGCAATAGAGTCAAAGAAAGTATAGAGAAAGTGAAGTCAAAAGACATACGCTGTCTAATCTCATTGTGCGTGGAATGCAGTTGGTGAATCCGCTGTCACGAGGGTAATGCCGAATGCAGTACGCCGGTTTACCATTATGATTAGCATGAACGTAACTAAAGATTATTATTTCATCAGAGACAAAATTATGAATTTCCTAAGATGTGCAGTGCTGTGCACTGCTCATCTTAGGAGATTCAAAACAAATAATCTTGAGTTCTACAAGCACAGTGTCACTTACAAGTGGACATTCTCGCCACGTGGAAACTCGTTCTCATAGTGAAGTGGTTGCACGGGCTTCCTTAAAACGTAAATTCAGACAATCAAGATCAGGAGCCGTATTTGACAATCTCCCAAACTCTCATTGGGCGCTGTTTTACCTTTATACATGAGCGCCCGATAAGGCAATGGGTTCTTAGTTATCACGGTAAAACATGGCTCGATCAGAGAGTTGGAAATTGATGAATAGAGAGACATTATTGCCAGCGGTTCGATATTGAAGCAAACCAGACCATATGACATTGCGAACTTCTATAAAGAGGATATGCAACCAACCAAGTTTGGAGTACATCAAGCGGACTATATCCTTCCCAAAACATCATCCTCATCTTCAGCTGATAGAACCACTCCATGAAATTGAAAGCATTCATCCGCTTCTAGAAAAAAATGCAACCGTTTGATGGGGAAGGGGGGGGGGGAGAAGGCCCACTACTCCGGATAAAATCTAAGAGCATAACTGAATTACCGACCGCCGCTTCTCTGGATAAGGCTACTTCTCTCTCGTCATCCAAACCAAATGACAGCTTCAAAGCCATAAGAATCAAAGCAAAAATTTTTGTCTCCGTAGAAAAGAATATGCTGAAAAAAAAACTTTTGTAGTCAGGCAATCATAAATCAAAAACGCAGATCTTATTCCAATGATAGTACTCACTCACTCGGCGCTTGTGGTACTTCGATGACGAATATGACGGCCAAAGGCAAATAACATTTGTAAAGCGCCGAATTTTCTTGTTCCAGGTACGCTGAAGCCATTCACATATGGACCCTAAATTTAGCGAAATTTGTATACTGTCAGAATAATGTAGCAGAGCAAATGCGGTTGAAGAATATGCGGTATTTGGATAAATAAACTTCACTATGAGCTTAAAAAGAAAGAACTGAATTTGAGGGTGCCTATGTAACACCTGCCATTTGTGATTAGGCACCATTTGCGTACCACTGAAGGTCACGTACAATACTTCAAAGAAGAATATGACGAACCTGCTCGATTCGTCCTTGCCTTCTTAAATTTTCTTCATCGAGGTGTTTGCATGGAGGGGCTAGCTTCATTAATATCATCACACGCTCGAACATCGCTTCAGGCAGATTCAGATGATGAAGGCATCGTGCTATGATCTAGAAATCACTCATTCCTATAACCCACACACGATCGCAAACTCAGCTCTGCGCAACTGCCAACAGCGGAAGGGTGTAACATTCCTACCTGCTTGAAGTCAATTTTCGCAGGTGTTTGCGGTAGATTGCAAATCTGCCAAACAAATAATGCCGTGCGTTGGAACTCGTACAGCGGAAGATCCTAAGTGGAACTATAAGCGCACAAGAAATTAGCGAAAAAAGCGTACCATGTTTGAGAAAGAACCACACTTCGACTGCTTCATTCCCTCTGCACCTCCGCATTCAAGAAGCATCCTTTGGAACAAGGTTATACCCATTCTATCCTCTCTGATCCATCTAAAACATACCCAGGTTGTTAAATCAAAAGTTTGCTTTTGCCCATCCACCAAAGAGTTTGCTATATATTAGGTTGATGCAAAAATAATGAGCGTTTTCTTAGGACTCTTTTCATGACAACTTTTCTCCATTAACCTTCTTTCTTTGTAATGGTTTCAGCACATTGTTAGAAAGCTCTTTTCATGCTCTATTTGACGATGTTCGAAAGGAACTTCTAGCTCACTCTGTTAAGAATTTATAGAGCTTCAAATGATTGAACTCAAAACCAGATTTTCGTTGCATTCATTTTTCTGGCCAGAATTTGAGCGCGAATGAAGATGGTTTATCGAAAATTTAGCCGCTGTATGAAATGGAAATTGTCTACATTGAGCATACTTAATCACATTTTTTGGAGTTATCTAATGTGAGCTATCGGCGGCTCAACATAGGTAATGGTTGTGGTCATTTCAGAGCCCATAACTTTCTTTTGTAGAATGCAGTCGCCCAAGCTTTGCTCATCTATGTAAGCGTGAGGGTAGGAGTCCTATTAGCAGTTTTTGCAAAAACATCCAGCTGTTCAGTACTCAGAAAACTAGAAAATCTATACTTCGGGATTTTAAGGCCTACTGAAAAAATGCTAAAAATTTGATATTTTTGAATTTCGATTTTTCCCTCTTCGCTAATCTTTTTTCTCCAAGCCGTTTCCATGTATATTTATACTACTGGCTTGCGGCTACAAGATAGGCTGCTTATAAATCATAATAGCAAAGTGTGAAAGGAGTTATGTTTTGTCAAAAACAAGACTTTAGAAAAAACTTTCTTTGTTTTTCAATCCATATTTTTCTGCCCATATGAGATATGAGTATAGTTCACTGTGCGCTGTACTGCGAAAGGTTCGCTGCATCTGATGGTCTTTATCACATTTCAAAATGTAGTTTTTGTAGAAACTTATAGAAAGTTAAATTGAAAAATGGAAAAACGCTCATTATTTTTGCATCAACCTAATATCACCTGATATAGCGGGCACAGATTAAAAACAGAGGCAATCAGGTAGATGAAAGTGATTTGATGACTTCTAGGTAATTATTTGGGAGTAAAAGAAAAAAACCACAACAGAAATGGCTACGTCTCTCAGACTGCCAAGCGTTGAGAGATGTGGTCGGCACGTGGACGTAGCCAGAGAAGGAACAAAAAGAAAGTTCATTTTAACGAAAAAGTGGCAATTGTGGAATTATGAAAAAACAAGGAGCAAACATCTATCACACCTGACTATGTCCGAAATTACAATCCATCGACATCCAATGGTGATAATAGAGACGTATAATATAGCAACAGCGACATCCATGCCGAGATATATAGTACTTGCCTAAAAGTTTCAGATGATAGCAAACTTATACTCTACCAGATAGATCAATACTGGAACGCAGAACTGTAAGAACTCACATTTTCTAATACCTCTTTGGGTATCGTAGTGTCCACAACGGTTACCAGCTGTGGTTTCTTGGTTGGGGCAATAACGGTGGTCTCCTCCTCCTGCTGCTCTTCATCCTGTGCAACCATGATGAAGCAGGAAAATGTGATAAAAATGAAAAGGCTCACTTCTGAGTCGACATCAGATCGTAATTCCAAGTTTTCGTCCAGCGTATCACCTATCAACAAATCCCAAGCAGCGACTGACTTCTGCAACGCTTCTTTTCCTTTCTTCTTTCTTCGTTCTTTCTTAGCCTTCTTCTCACGAGCTTTCTCGAATGCTCTGGAAACTGATGGATAAAGGGACTACACAGCCATTTGCAAAATGGTAGCATCTGGATATACAATAAGCGCACGACAAATAAGCACATGAGCTTACATATTTTTATTGAGCACGAGGGCCCTAAACATCGTCTCCAAGTTGTCGGTGTAATCCTTGGGAGTAAATGCAACGCCGCATGCTGACAGGTATCGCTGATAGATAGCAAACGTATGATCCTGGAAAACTCGGCACAACAATATTCGACACTCGTTTAATTATTATTTAGTAGGAACAAAATTTTTTAAGAAAGGTTGGTAACAGATAAAAGGCCTTCGAAAGCATAGCAAAAGTAAAACGTTCAAAGCAGAAAGCGCGAAAAAAATCAGGTTCAAAATCAAATAACGCTTTAAAATGTAAGGCTATGTATATTTCACCCACAGTAAAGGATTCTGGGATAGTAGGATCACGACGAATCCACGCAACGCACTTAGCCAGTATTTTCGTAAATGCAGCCAATCTAGTGCCGACACGTCGAAGATAAGATGGAGCATGCTCTCTGCCAGATCCGATATCTTTTCTTGAAAAGAAAGAATGATAAAACAGCAGCGAGTGTACTTTTGTTACCTCTGTCTGCTAGCTTTAATTCCTTCTCCCACGATTGTGCTGGTTGATAGACTCAACTGATGCAGATCGTCACCCTAAAAACCAGTCCCTCAAAAGACGAGAAGAAGAAAAGTTATACCAAACCTTTCGCTTTTTGGGTTTTGCAGTCTGAGCAGTTGCCATTCCCAATGCCACAAAATCAGTTTTAGCCATAGATTTATCTTGCACTTGCTTCACTCTCTTGGTCTTGATTCTTCCAATACCAGCAACCACTTGGTCTTCATCTTCCTCTACTTCACGATAATCCTGAACGAGATAAGGGTTACTAACCCTTCGGAAAAGGCTTCGAAAAACTGCCATGACTACACCACAAACTTTAGAAATAAAACTGCAGAAAAGTAAAAGGGTAGAACTCACAAAAAGATGAGTGCCGCAAATCTCGCAATACATCAGTCCATCCACGACTTTCGATTGATTCGAGCCGCATACTGGGCAGGACGACGATGCCATCTTGCTTCATGCCGAAAATGTACTGACAACCCCAGCCGGGTATGATAGAGGATGTGTAGTCAGCTTGAACCGGAAGGATCCAACAATAAATTCCTACTGTAGCTGACTAGCGTTCGGCTGCACTATTATTGGAGCGGCACAGTATGAAAATGACGACTTGAACGCATTCTCTCCGAACGACATCATTCATCGTGAATGCGGCTCATTTCCAAAGTCCATATAAGTTTCTGGCTCTCCTTCCTCTAGAAAGAGCAGGTATAGTTCATTTTTAAAATCGTGACGACGGATTTTACTGCGGACTTTGCGCCCGCCAGAGGAGCATAAAACGCTCATACAAGAAGGCATCACTTCAACGTTCAGTTCCGTCACTTCCAGTGTCTAAATATTATCATTCGTGAGCAAAAAAACCACTTGACTAGAGGTGAAAACCAAGAAAACACGATTTCTGAAAGTCGCGTGCGTGGCGCGCGCGGTCGCGCCATTGTCACGATTTTTAAATGCCCTATAGGTTTTTCAGATATTCCCTTTCCTCTTCGTAATTTTTTGTTGCATGTTTCGTCGTCATTGATGACTGTAATTTCGAGCCCAAAAGCAATCAGACATTTGTAGTTAAGTCCCGTAGGAGATCCGTCCACAAAATGAGAAATCGCGAGAAAACCGGTAGTCTTGCGCAACACCCGGATTTCTCCTGAGTTTCGGGATTATCGATTATCGGGAGACGCGAGTTGTTTTCAATTCACCTATAACTGCTTTAGTTAACGCTTTATACACGGGAGAATATCGCTTCGAGAGCTTCACTTTAAGCTCTGAGAAAGTAAATGCGAAACTTCCGGATCTGAATCAATGCTGGTAAAGCAGCGTTTACCTACTGGCACAGGTGTGTTCACCTGTCCCTGCGCTCTCATTAGTGAGGTAGTGAGCTCTAGCTGACCCGCGACGAGTCCGACTCACTGGCTGAGGTGGCACCGCTGCCAGCTCGGTAAGCCATCGCTTCTCGGCCTTTTGGCTAAGATCAAAGTTTAGTTTCTGTTCTTATCGAATTAACCTTCGATAGAGTCTCGAATGAGTCTCGTTAAGGTTATTTGATTTTTGGTACCGGATGAGGTTGCGGGCTTGCTCGCACCTCATCACGGGTCGGCCCAGCGTTGCACTGCTGCAGGGATCGGCCCACACCCCCACGGGGGTGAACAAATCCAAACCACTCCTGGGAACGAGATGTGATGCTCCTCAGCCTATCTATTGATCTAATTTAGATAACCTAGAGCGGGACTCCCGCCGGTGATTGGATCGCGACATTATCGGGTCTCCCACAAGAGCTTCCGGTTTTCTCAGTAGACATTACGGGACAATCGCGTGTGTCACGCAGCATTATCCCTAATGAAGTGCAGGAGCCCCGGTTTTCTTGCGAATCATTTTACTTGTTTCCCGCAGTCATTCCGTCGGGACACAACTTTTTCACCGGCGACTTAACCACGAATGTCTGAGTAGTGTCTTGGCAGAATTTCGTCTTCCAGTTTTTCACCTTTTCAGAGCCTTCTCCCCATAAGGAACCCATAGGGCTTTTCAGCACGTGAAAAGCGAAAAAGTTTTCGAAGCTTTCCAGGTCAGTGAAGAATACGTGTAAGTGGCGGGGCCGTGAACGAGGGAGGCTGAGCGCGAAAGAAATCCGGCGTAGCTTTACTAAAGGTTCTGAAACTTCAGAAAAAGCTCATTTCCGCCATTTTCATGCGCTGAAAAGCCCAGATATGAAATCCTTATGTCGAGAAGCTCCGAAAAGGTGAAAAACTGAAAAACGAAATTCTGCCGAGACACTGCCATTAAAGGCAGCGTCTGGGCAAAATTTCGAACAAGATTTTTTCGCTTACCTGGGCTATTCTTACCACTGATTGCGAAGATGCAGTTTACAGAGTACGAAAATGTTGAAAATGGGCTATTTTAGAAGCTGTTGATTTTGAATATGGAAGCTTGTTGCAGAGGTTAAAGGCACCTTCCACCCAGATTTTCGACTTTCACGTTTTTGTCGTTTCAGGGCCTTCACATGTTCCTGATCCCGAATATGAAGTCGAGAGTGCTCGAAAACCCCGACAATTCCCGTTCTGGAGAGCCTACAGGCCGGCTTTCCGGAACGGTGATTGGATGAGCGCGCACAAATGGGCGGGCATGGATGGGGGTCCCCGTGCATCTTCGCTAATCCGGCGATTTTCGCGCTTCCGAAGCGGCTTGCGCCGCAACTTGGGCATTGGATTGATAGGGGGCCCTACTATTATATGCTGCCGAAAACTCAACACCTTCAACTTAGGGTGGACGGTGCCTTTAAGACGCAGAGTCGTCGTGAGACCCTACGCCTTGGCTGTGTGCGGCATACGTACTCTGGCTATCGATTGAAGGGGCGGGCAGGTCGCCGGGACGTCTCGGTCGCACTTCTGAAGCGGTTTTCTCGCTTCAGAAGCAAATTAGTGCACTGCCAGTTGGGCAAGGGCTTTACCAGGACGGGAGCTCCTGTACGCTGAAATTTCGTATCTGCCCGGACGTTGCCTTCAAACGCAGTGGCTCGGCAAAACCAAACACCTCGAAATTTTGATATGGAAGGTTGCTTGCACCTTAATTATGAGGACTGAGCAGGTTCGAGTGCACGGCATTTGCCCCTGCTTAGAAAACTGCCCTTACACCCGTACGCGCAAGCCATTTCTACACGCTCTCGGACGAGTTTGCGATTCTCCACTCATCGTCAGAGGAGGCATGCCGCAATGTTATAATCATGGGGGCTCCGCAACGACTCTGCGTTTCTAACCATGGCCGGAACCGTCCCGCTCGTCCAAATTCAAAACGAGGGATCTTGGAAAATACTGGTTGCCATTTTCGCGCCCTTCCAGGTGGATATTCGGATCCTCCGCGTCGAATTATCCTAGATAAGCGAAGAAAGTTCAGGTGGAGCATTTGCCGAGCCACTGCCTTTAACATCCTAGACAGCCTTGGTTTTCGATTTTTCCCATGTTTTGGTCGACTTTCAACCAATCCTTTCAGAACTCTGTTTCTTGTTTTTTTTCTTCATTTTCCACTGCTCTTATTGCTCGAAACAATTGCTGGCCGTGCTAGGAAATTCAATCTATCCTACCAACTTTTTGTCGGCTCTTATCATTGTTTTTGTATGTTCTGCTCAATCTTCTAGACTTCTTAACCCGATTGATTCATTTCCACCAACACACATGAGAACTTTTTTCGCATATAGGATACCTCGTATTGAGGTGTGAACCATGCGTGGCATGCTTCAGTTGGTTAAAAAAGGACCGAGCGTAATCTCGCTAGACAATCTCGCTACGCTATTATGAGCATCTTACTCTTCTGAGTGCGTCAGACTCAGTAACTGTTTTTTCAAGAGTACTGGATATTAGGTTGCCTCTGGAGACGAGCACGGCGGTGTCTTCTGTGGGTGCACCAGTTAATTCTTCTTTCAGAAATGAAGAGGAAATTGTAGCAAGCCGTTGTCTAGCAGGGAGCAGGGGAGCTGAGCTAAGGAAAGATGAAGGAGGTGTTCTTCTAGAAGATTCCAAATATAGAGAGCCGTACACATTTTCATTCGCGAGGAGGAACAAGAGGTGCGGTGTGTACAGCTGCGCTCTCTATTGTTCACATGCGTGCACCTATGCCCTATGCTAGAGATAAAGCCAACAGACTGGCATACGAGATAACCTATGCTGTATATGAAAAAAAAACCAGTGATTTATTCTTACTGGTCTCATCAAAAACCGAACAATTAGAACTGAAAATCAATCAAGGGTAAACGATCAGGAGTATTACAGAAATGACTGTCTTTCGTTAATCGTTAATCGCAAATATTATAAATGTGCCCATATTTACTGATCCGTGACGTCAAAAGTAACCAGCTATATGCTTAACACCACGGCAAGTGTGTGAAAAGGCTTCATCGAGAGCAGATGAGCTGTATAATGAAGAATATTGAAGTGAAGAATATTCATGTTCGTCGTTCAAACACTTGCTTTGTCACAAATTATGTATTTGTATTTGAGTCTTCGAAAAGGTTTATATTTATCTGTGTTCTTCAGAAGACATGGTGATGGCCTTTCACGGCCTGGTTTTCCTATTAGACGGGACTGAGTTTGTCCATGTCATGGAACCACACATGCATAACTATCATTCTGAAAAGACTATAAGGTATGAATTCTGCAGCTAGCAATATTAGCAATCTCTAAGTTTTCTACCTACAGAAGGCTTGCGCAAATGGTCTCTTGTGTGGTTGCTGACGGAGCGCGCCAGAACAACCGAAAAATTGGCGCAACTCTATTGCATGCATGGAGTCTGCGCCGGTGGTGTGGAAGTCCCCCCCCCCCCTGACTGCACGGAAACAGGAGGCAACGTAAAGGAGGATTTTTACATGTCTCCAGAACAACTCTGAGCTCTTTCGGACAAGACCAATGCAGCGGCTCAGAGTTGATCTGGATTTCGAACACGCTGCATCAATGCCGCTTGAAGCGTTTTCTCAGCTGTAGTCCAGAGAGCTGTTCCTTCCCTTTATCGCAGTCCTGGAACAGGTAAATCAACCTAAGGGTTTCTGTAGGATTTAACAAGCATAGCGTTACAGAAGTCGTGATAGCTGCAGAATAACCCGCTCCATAAGGAGACCTGTGGCCGTATTCATCATGATACCTTGAGGTAAATTCTACCTCCAGGTGGTTTTATCACTCATCATCAGCAAAATTACATTGAGAATTTACCTCAAGGTACTTTGTGAGTACGGGTACTCGCTGATAATGAGTGATAGAACTACCTGGAGGTAGAATTTATTTCAAGGTATCAATGATGAATACGGCCACTGGAAGAGATGACGTTACAGAAGAATGGTGGGATACTATCAAAGGTGTCATATTTTTACCCAGAGGGCTGCACGTTGAAGTCAGAGTTGACGGTAAGTTGATAAGAAAGGTGAAACTATAGGAGTTTCACCTTACAGTGCCCCATCCGTCTCGAACAAACAACCAGCATACGGCAGCTGCTGGGATTTCCTGAACTATTTGACCAGTGCATGGTTAATTGGTCCATTCCAGGATCTGTGTTGCAAACAAGGAACCACAGACTTTGCACCACAAATCTAGCTGAGGCTGTTCACAAGTAAGCTTTGGTGAAATTCGTATAGCGGAATTATCTTTGCATTTCAGTAAGCTGTACGCTGCCTTCGCAGGTGATCATCCCGACATGCGCACGCTACCGGAAAAGCTGCACACTTGATTTGAAAGCTATATGTAATTTGCGTTAGAGTGAAGGTGTAAAAAAACTATTGAGAGAGCATTGTTGGATTAGATTATCTACGCAAATTTGGGATGTTTTCATTAACGAAGAAAGTACAGTAAAACTACTTAAAAAAGACGTTCTGCCACTAATCATACAAAAGCTAGGAAACGCGACTTGTACAACTTTTCGCTTCTTTTAGATATGTTTATAGTGAGGAGTAGTAGGGATACCTATGGCTGCATGGGCAGCGTAAAATCCAAATACCTGGAGCTTAGAATATGAAGCTTTCTCAGAGCTGCAATCCCTCCGGATATTAATGCATGTGGTCCCTAGACTGAAGCTCTACTATTTGGTGAAATCTTCTGATATGCAGTAGTGGTTCGCGAGGTAAGCAAAGTGATGGACAAAATAGTGTTGATCTGGCTTTACTAAATATGGCTACAATGGTAGCCATGCCTTCAATTTATTACACGCAATCGGTATTAGGAAGTGTAAAATCTGCTTACTGTAAATTTGGTCGCGTTCGCACCGTTCTTTTTATTGGGCTTCTTCAACTGGTTTTTTTTAGTATTTTCAAAAGTTTTTGAAAAGTTCTTCGCAAAAGTTCCTTTTGCGAAGTCTTGTCCGCGTCATACGCTGTAAATCTTCTGCATTTGAAACATCCAGAAGTCTGTTATGATTCAACACTATACGAAGCAGGTGAGCGTTTACCGTTTTGAACTATCAATTTTTTTAATTTTCCTGTACATTCTGGGGCACGGTCGAAAACAAGAGTACCATCGGCTCCCCGATTGCCGCGAGGGCGGACTCATGCGAGCGCACCAGCGATGCGGTTGCCCTGTGTTACATCTATTAGGTTGTCCCAAAAGTTCTTGCGCCGGATATTCAAAAAATTATAACTTCCTTGCCACTCGATGGATTTTTTAAAATATAATTTCATTTGAAAGAGGAAACCCTTCTCTTTACAATAGTACCTCTGACGTGAATTGCTATTGAAAATTTCGAGAGCTATAGGCAATTGAAGGAAATCAGTCAAGATCGGCATTTTTCAAGCTGGATTACGAAAAAATCTGGAGCTATTTTTGTTTGATAGAGAAAATTTTGCACATTGCAGTGGTACCTTTTTCATGAGTTAAAACGAAGTAGATCGAGGCTTAGAAGCAAATAAAGAGAATTTCTTCAGTTTTGCAATTTTTGAGCATGCTCAAAAAAGTCTAGAAACGTCACAGACAATGTGGGAAAGCCATGGACATGGGTTTTGTGACTACTCTTTCCAGCTGAAGAGGTTTCAAGGTAATCGAGAGCAATTTTGATTTTCGTGAATTTTTCGGATTTTCGAGAGTGCGTTTTTCACGATAATCAAAATTGCCCTCGATTACCTCGAAACTTGTTCAGCTACAAAGGAAAGGTCACAAAACCCATGTTTATGACTTTTTCGCCTATTCTGTGACGTTTTCAACCTTTTTTGATCAAGCTCAAAAATTGCAAAACTGAAGAAACTCTCTTTATTTTCTTCTAATCAATTTACTTCGTTTTAACTCATGATAAGGTACCACTGTAATGTGCAAAATTTTCTTTATTAAATAAAAATGCTTGCAGAATTTTTCTTGATCCAGCTTGAAAAATGCTGATCTTGACTAATTTCCTTCAATTACCTATAGCTCTCGAAATTTCTAATAACAATTCATGGCAGAGATACCACCGTAAAGCGAAAGGTTTTCTCTTTTATGTGAAATCAAATTCAAAAAAATCCATCGAGTGGCAAGGAAGTTATGATTTTTTGAAAATCTGGCGTAAGAACTTTTGGGACAGCCTAATATATATCATAAAAGACAAAGTTTGTGCAACTCTGGACCGTATGTTCTTTATAGATGCTCTTGCGCGTGAACCAACTGAGCTAAAACTTTACGCGTATATGTTTTCGACCCTGTAGATGGTTTTAGGCTACTCTTTAAGGCGATTTGCTGGGTTTTTCTATCGATTTATTGATTTTTCGCACCTATCAATGAAAATGAAGCCTTATCAACCGCCATCACACCGCTTGCACATTTAGGTGTAAACAACAGCAAAGAAGCTCATTCTCATTCTGCGGTCAGAAGGATGCGGTACTTCCAGATGATGCTGCTTTGAGGTAGGCATTTGCAATTACAATGCAACCTGCAGGTAGATATAGGCTGCAGGACCGGAGAAGGAAAGGAGGGGGGGGGGGGGGAGGGGAGGGCAGGAAAGCAGATGGAAGCGGGATGAGAGATGGAAAGGCGTAGGTTTTGAAGCAGAACGCAACTTTTATGCTCTCCCCCTCCTCCCTCTGTGCTCATGAACCGGGCAAGACCGGGTATGCCAGCTAGTAGCTGATAAATTGTATCAGCTGACCATCGCGACCGCCCTCGCAGCAGTCGGGGAGCCGATGGTAGATGATTTTATCTTTGAAGACTCGACGAATCATAAAGAAGAAACATTGCCAAGAAAGAGGATAAAAGCTTCATCACCCGAGCTGTTCGCCAGTTGAGGCTCTCTGAGGTTCGGCTTCATCGATATATCTGATTGATTTGGTTACATCTTAATTATAGAAATTTTGGGAAGTTACCTCTGAATGCTAGAAAACTGCAATGCATTTTGGACTTTACCCACCTGTAATTGAAGCCTTTCCAAAAACTTGAAGCAGAAACTGCTGTATCTGCACATACATCATATCTTGGTGCACTTTCTTATTATTTCCATACCGAACCATCTTCAAGGATTCGATCACATGCGAAGCATTTCTTTTGATGTCAGAATAGGATATAGATAGCTTTTCTATGCATGGAACAAGGCTTCCAAATAATTTACCAGTCCCGACAATGTTGACGTGACGCATCAAACATGTCGGAATTCAATATACACCATTATCGTTTTTTCTTTGTCTGAGAAGAACAGACTTCTGTGTCACAAAACGTCGGGTTCGAATTTGAGACAAACCCTGTTCTATGAACCATGGAAGCAGTCTCTATAATAGCATTACCAGTGTTTGGACGTGTTTGGTTGGCAAGAATGGCTTTAGGTATGGTTCATTTTTAAAATTGTGACGACTGACTGCGGTCTTTCCGCACACAGAAGAGTGAAACACCCATACAAACAGGCAACACCTCAGCGATAAGCTCAGTCACTTTTAGTGCCTGAGTACTATCATATGTAAGCAGAGGAACTGTTTGAGTAGAGATAGAATTCAAGCATTGGAAGCGCGTGCGTGTTGCGCGCGGTCGCGCCATCGTCACTATTTTCGAATGCTTTATACTTTCATGGAATGAATACATTCTTTTGGCCGGTGATCATACATTTATTCACTACTCAACTGCGGTGATGCCTGATCAGTTTGAGTGATGAGATGCTTAGACAATACAGCAAGGCAGATATTGAATTTCTGTTAACCATCCAGAGATTGAAATTCTTTATTAAAAAACTGTACGATATTTAGTGGATTTTGAATGTCGCTCTGTTTTGATGGTTATTAATCATTTTGATTATCTCAGCTAGCAAGATTAATTTTGTTCTTTTTCGCCTTTTTCATCGTTTTCTTTTTCTTTGACACAGGTGAAATGAACCAACGCCCAGCTCGTATTTCTATCTTCTGTCAAGCCATGTTTCTAAATTGTGTATATCATCAAGAAGTCTGCAATGAAATACAGCACACCTCATTGTATTCGTCAAGTTCTTCACAATATAAGCGATCGCCTGGTTTCCAGATTTTAGTGAAAGCGCCATGAGTGAGTTCCCACTTTACCTGAAATGACGCTCTGACTATTCTTGAACATAGTGATGAACATAACATAGGTAGTCGGTAATGTGCATAAATAGTTACCAGGTATACCCATCTGCTGTGACCGATTACCTCGCTTCCCATGAGATTGATGGGAATCTCATTACGTTGAAGGAAAGCTTCTTCGAAGCTAAAAATGTTGATGCTTGGAGGAGTGGCAATCCCTTACAGTCATTTTGGATCTGACCTGATATGGGCCAGGATTGCCGTGATTCTTAGACGATCGTGTTGCGGCATAACGATGGCGAGTAAGATGAAATAAGTGAACCTTACTCCGATTTGCGAATGAATCAAATGTATGTTTTCTCACACATGAGACGTCCTCGCATAAAAAGGACTGGAAGATAATTACACTTTTCTAATGTCGCAACGCTAATATTAGCATCTCCCTCACTTGAGTGCGTCAGCTCTCAGTAACTCTATTTTCAGGAGCACTATATTCAAGCATGCCTTTGGAGGCTAGCATGGAGGAGTCTTCTGTGGGTGCGTCCGCGTCTCTAATTCTGCTTTTGGGAATGAAGATGAAATCGTGTAAGTCATTGTCTATCGTGAGACGAGGGAGCTGAGCCAAGATAGGTGAAGGAGGTCTTTGTCTGCAAGATTCCAAATACAGAGATACACATTTTCATCCGTTAGGATTAGTGAAAAGCGGAATGTGTACAGCTGCACTCTCTATAGAAAAAGAGGAAACATGGAGAACGACCAAAGCATGTTCCTAAATAAATCTTGCCTTTGCATATTCATCTCTTGTTCTTGTTCATTCCACATATGTACTATGATTTCGTACAGGTGATCGCCGATGAATTTTTGAGCAGTTTGTGCACCATCGCTTGCATATGTGCCCCTGTACCTATTGCCAAGGACAAAGGCAACAGCATATGAGGTAATCACCACCTTATATGATAATAAATAATTCAATTCTATCGGACAAAAATGAACTGTCGTTTGGCTTAAATGCGTTTACATTTTCAGGTGGTCCGCGACACCAAGAGCAGTCAAGCATATGCTTAGCGATTTGCACGGCAGGTGTATGAAAAGGCTTTATCGAAAAATAAAGCTGTATGATGGTGAGAAAATTCACGTTCGTCATGCAAACATTTGCTTCATCACATTATATATATTTGCAATTGAGTCTTTGAAAAGATTTATAGTTATCTGCGTACTTCAGAAGACATGATGATGCCTTTTACGGCGAGAGACATAGCAAGCGTCGACAAAACAAACGATCTCTGGGGTAAGTCACTTCAAAACTTTATCCCGCTGATCAGCATATACTAGGGCCATCAGCACTTTCAAAGATAGAAAAGTGACGCTGCAGAATATCCCAGACGACCTGCTCTTCCTACAAGATGGGACTAGCTTCGTCCATGTCATAGAACTACAGCTGCATATCTATTATCCTTAAAAACCAAAGGTATGGATTCTGTAAACAGTATCAACTTCTCCAAGTGTTCCATCTATATAAGACTTGCGCAAAGGGTCTTCTGTTATGGTTGCCGACTGAGTGCACTCTAAGCAACCGAGGATTTGGCGCAGCCTTACTGCGTCCATGGAGTCTGCGCCGGTGGTGTGGAAGTCTCCCTCCTATACGCCGTGGCTGCACGGAAACACGAGGCAAAGTACAGGAGGTTTTTACATTTCTCCAAAACGATTGAGCTCTTTCGGACAAGGCCAATGCAGTGCCTCAGAGTTGTCCTGGATTTTGAACACGTTGCCATTAATTCCGCTTGAAGCGTTTCTCAGCAGGGCTGTTCCTTCTACTTATCGCAGTTCTGGAATAGATAAGGCAATCTAAATGCTTCTATAGGATCTAACAAGCATAGCGTTACAGAAACCGGGATGGCTGCAGGATAACCACTTCATAAGGAGACCTGGAAAAGATGGCGTTATAAAGGAATTGTGAGGCACTATTAAAGGTGTCATATCTTTACCCAGAGGGCTGCGCACTGAGGTCAGAGCAGTACGGTAAGTTGATAAAAAAAGAAAAACATGTAGGAGTCTTACCTTACTGTGTGCCCCACTCGTTTCGAATAAACAACCAGCATACGGCAGCTGCTGAGAATTCCTCAATTATTTGACCAGTACATGGTTAACTGGTCCATTTGAGGATCTGTGGTGCAAACAGGAAATCGCAGACCTCCGCCCAAAATTTAGCCGAGGCTTTTTACAAGTAAGCTTTGATAAAATTTTTATAGAGGAAGGTATTTCGCATTCCCTAAACTCCACCTTTACGGGTGATCACTCCGACATGCGCACGTTACCGGAAAAGTTGCGCACAATTGATTTGGAAGTTATACGTAAATTGCGATGGAGTGAAAGTGTTAGAAAAGGATTATTGAGAGCATTGTTGATTAGATTATCTATGAAACTTTGGGATGTTTTCATCAACAAAGAAAGTGATTGTGAAGAAAAGCCGTTCTGCTGCTGGAGGTCATACAAAAAGCTGGAAAACGCGACTTGTACAACTCTCACTCTTTCTATATATGTTTGTGATGAAGAGTTGTAGAGATGCTTATGGCTGCATGGGCAGCGCAAAATTCAAATACCTGGAGCTTAGAATATGAAGCTTTCTTTGAGCTGCAACCCCTCCCCAGGGCCCAGCATAGATCGTCTGGAAGCAGGCTGGACGTTTTTGGAGCAAAAAGCAAAGGAGATATAGTTTTTGACGAGTCAGGGCCGAGCATCAAGATTAAGCGCCATTTAGTCGAACACAAGCTTTTCGGACAGGTTATCACACGATTGACATGCTCTATAGTGTAGGCGAAAAGTGCGTGCGATTTGAAAGCAGGGCTAAAATAAACAAATTGCTTGTTTACAGCGTACACAGAATTATATGACACCAAAATTGAACTGTATGTATAGAAAATTATTTGCAGAGGGATTATGTAAAAAGATTTGAAAACTTATGTGAAGTAATACATTCTTCAAAATTAGATCGTCTCCAGACGGCCACCAGACGATCTGAGATCGTCTGGAGCATATATTTTTGTCACTTCACATAAGTTTCGGATTTTTCTACCATGGACGAATTCCCCGGTCAAAAATCTATCCCTGAGCATGAAGACAGGCCTTGAAGGCAGCGTCCAGGCAGATTCTCGACCTATATTTTTATGTTATCCAGGCCTTTCCATGGCGCTGATTCCGAATATGCAACTCAAAAAGCGTGAATTTTTCAGAAAATCACCTTTTGGGGCTATTTTGGGAAAATCCGGACGAGTGCTTCTGATGTTAGCCTTGTCGAAAGCAAGTATTAACAGGTAAACGCTGTAAGTTCGACTGTGTTGGAGTGTGAAAACACGTCAAGGCTGAGGAGATTACGTTCGAAAGGGGTTGGCCGTCCGAAGGGAGTGGGCGTGGTCGTCGAGCTCGGATCTGCCTGGACGCTGCCTTTAGTTTCCTCATAAATCGGTTTGTTAAATATCGCGCTTCAATGCTAAATTCTTGTGCATGCCTAGTCTTCACCTCCAATTTGAATTTTCACTCTTATCTCTCGTTTTTTTCCTTCAGACTAATAAATCTTTCTTGTCATATTCTCTTAAGTATGTAGGTCAAAGAGGACTTCGTAAAAGTTCCAAAAGTCAGGAAGACTTCGTTTTCAAAAACCCTAGAAACCGACTTGTGCCGGGCCCTGCCCCTCCCAGATGTTAATGCATGTGGTCCTTAGACTGAAGCTCTACTATTTGGTGAAATTTTCTGAACGCAATAGTAGTTCGCGAGGTAAGCAAAGTGATGGGCAAAATAGTGATTGATATGGATTTTTTTGAATATGGCTACAATGGTAGCCATGCCTTCAATTTATTACACGCAATCAGTATTAGGAAGAGTAAAATCTGCTTACTGTAAATTTGGTCTCGTTCGCACCCATGCATTGCGGATATGGCCGCCAGTGTTCACAACTCACGATCAGTTTCATGAGATCTTTTATACAATATATTATAATGACCGTTATATCATTGCATACACATATCCATAGTCGTATCACCGATGGTTACATAAAATAAGGCAAAAACATTTGAAAAGCTTACACAGATACGGCTAAATACGGTATATACAGTACATTGGCATAAAATTTGGCCACTTGACTTTTGTAGGCTGACCTTATGACAAGGGCCGAAGCTATCAAAAATGAGAAGTTTGACCAGTATCAACGTACACATCTAATAGAGATCAAGTTGAAGACAAAGACAACTTGGATATGAGAGATCCTATGATATTTCCGGATTCTATGTACTAAACAAACCATATAAATAGGATGAATGATTACAGAAGGCGTCAGTGGTCCTTATTCCAGAGAGTTCTGTACGTCAACACCAGATTATGACCCAGATTTGTAAAACTATTCGGCCGAGCAGGAGTTTGTGATCGCATGTCCATATCCATTTGTGGCGACCTTGTCCTGGCTCGTCGTTCCGAACACCGACCACCACCACGTTTCAAACTTAAAGCACTTCCTTCGACTATCTTCATTGAAAAAACTTCGAAGAAGTGCCCACCTCATAACAGCATCGATATTCTTTGTCTCTAGATAAGAAGCACCTTGTTCTAGAGACATAGAATGAGCATAGCAATCAAGCCAGGATTGACGTCGACCACGAGCCGATTGTGACGCTCCGCTATGGCACGAATCATCGGACATATCTGAGCCATTGCCTGAACATATTTATTCTCATTCGAACAACTCTGAGGGTTCAGAGCAAAGTCACACAAGATTAAATAATCTCGGAAACAGCAAGCATGAGCGAGGGGTTTTTTCATCAGCATTTCGAGAAAAGTCGCTATGCTCTCTCTCCCCTCCCTCATTTTCCCTTGGCCTACCCATCCCCGTTCGCTCTGCTTTCTGCAAGATAACGTCAGTGAAGATTTTTCAAAAATTTCGGATCTTCGTGCAATCTCTCAAATCTGACGAAGCGTGAAATTTGAGAAAGAAGCTCAGTTGTGCACTAAGTGCGAGTGCTGCAGTGATAGAAATCTCCATTAGTCCTCTGGCAAAGTTCACGCGATTTCATCGCCGCGATTCTTCTAACAAGACAAACAGTTACGATCGATCCATTGCATCCCGATTATGTTACATTTCGGTTGTGATGGTTAGTCACGACTGGTCGTGTTTGAGAGCTATCACAACCGAAATGCAAGATGTTTGGCATGCACTAGACTCGTAACTATTTATTTTGTTGGAAAAATAGCGGCGATGAAATCGCGTGAACTCTGCCCGAAGCCTTAAGGCAATGTCTACCAGGACTTTTCAGGTTAAAACCGTTTGCCCATGGCCTAAAGCAACCTTGCGCGATTCGGCTAAATCGCGAGGTTCACGCGACCCGGCACTTTGCCAGATATCTCCAAATTTATCGGACACCGTCCTTAAACACATGGACGCGTAGCTTTTGTAACTTGTTGCAAACCGATCAAGTCCTGCCTTGAAAAGCGCTTTGACGACCACTTATGAACAGTCGTTCGGTACCAAATCGCGCAGCGACTGGAATCGCGTGAGGTATGCTTTAGGCCTAAGGCATACCTTATGCGATTTCAGTCGCTGCGCGATTTGGTACAGGAACAATGGTTTTTAACTAATCTAAAATTCGCTTCGTTTGAGCAGGACTTGTTCTGTTTACAACAACTTACAGAAGCTATTGCCTACGCTTTTTAGAAGAGCGCACGATACTTCTGCACAAATCTGGCAAATCGCCAAGTCGCGCGAAAGTGGCGATTTAGCCAAATTGCGTGAGGTACGCCTTAAGCCTAAGGCATACCTCGCGCGATTCCGGTCGCTGCGCGATTTGGCATAACAGCGACTCTTTGTAATTCGTCGTTAATGCGCTTCCTTTGGTCAGGAGTTGATCCATTGCAACAACTTATACAAGCTACCCGCCTATGCGTTCGAGAAGCGCGCACGATAAATCTGTAGAAATCTGGCAAATCGCCAAGTCGCTTGAAAGCGGCGATTTGGCCGAATCGCGTCAGGTATGCCTTAGGCCTTAGGTCTTAGGAGTCACTGTCCGGGTGACAAATAATCTATTCCTGGGTATGTTATTAAATCTGAGTTCTTGCCCAGTACCGTACAGTTCATCAGCGCCCCCGAGAGTACAGTACTGGGCTAAGCTTGAGTTTGCATATTGCCGCGTTTCAAAATTATTTTGTTAAATTTTAGCGAGCCCAAGTACTCAAACTCTTAAAGCTTTCAGGCGGTAGCGACTGAGTTGCAGGGATAAGAAATTTCATCGAAGAGTTTGGCATAGTATCGTACATAGCCTTCTAATGACTGCTCTTACCTAGGATTACTTACAAGTTCCTATTTTCGACAGTCAATTCACAGCAAAATCGAAGCGTAAGCCACATTCACAAGATATTACACCGAATACCCGTGAAACCTACGCTACACGATAATACTGCATCTGCGATGTTGTGTAGCAGAACTCGGAGGAATATATGGACTTATTCACCGATACGGATACTCATGTCGCTTTCCAAAGAACCACGACTATCACGCGATTCACGTCTTCCACGATCTTCAAGACGACCATCAGCTGATAAGAAGGACATCTTCCTGAAACGCAGCACCCTTGGAAAATTTCGAAGAACACTAGCAATAGATTCAAATACCTAGAGTCACTGGAGAATGATGGACGAGCTGCACTAATCATCACTCGTGGTAGATTTGTGCTGCTCATTGACACTCGACGATTGCCGAGGCGCCTAGAAAATTCTTGATCAACCTGACAGTAATCAGAAAAGGCAATTTTCACAAGTGGCCGTTGTCCGAAAGATGGGTAGTCGAGCATATTTACAACTATGATGATGGTTCTGCAAGCCTATGGACTCACCCTAGTCCTAGCTGTTGCTGCTGCATTCGATCATCAGATTCATACCGTAACTGCTCAACAAGATCCAATAGAATGCGCACACTGCTCATGACGTCATCGAAGTGGGCGGAGCTAGAAGTTGATTGTATTTTGCACCACTTGTTTTATATTTCTATTTGTCAGTTCACTAACCTAAGTTCCTTGCAGCTCAATCCGATAACAAGCGGATTCAGTAGATGTACGCACACTTGGGAGGCATCTTTCATCCTTATCGGGTCGCGTGTAACAATCCGCTGGACCAGTCCTGAATAGATTGCTAAATTGTCAAAAAATGAGGTAGTGGAAGGATGAAGATGTAGATTACGGCAACTTGTAGGCCACAAACAGTTTTTACCCAAACTTTGCATTCTCTCGCGCGCGCGAAAGCTAGATGGACGAGTTACACCGCACAGCAAACGGAAAAACTTTTGTTCGAAGCTCTATAACCCATTTGCAGCTACGCCCCGTAACTGTATTGAGCTCAAAAACCGCATAACTGTGCATGCGGTAGAGCTTTCCCGCTCTGTCATGATCGTTCAATCACGGCAATGCGCCAGGCAATCAGAAGCGCGCCGTCGCAGTGAGCTGTCAGCGCTCTCTGATTGGCTGGCTACTACAAACGAGCTATACCGTATACCCAAAATGTACTGTAAATGCGACAATAAAAACTCACTCGACTTTGCATGGATAATCACAGGATGATGGGCTGAACACAATGATACGCATGACAATAATTGTTGTAACGATGCGGTATCGCAGCGATCTGACAACGATGCTAATCCTGCGAGAAGATCGAGTTGACGCTAAAAGGCAAACACCTCATTTGTGAAGTAAAACTTCTTTCTGTATCTGCAAGTATATAGCACGAAATATGACCTACCGGTACATTGTCGTGAAGATACGGTGGCAGACACATGATGGCTGGTAGAAGTTTGCGACTGATGAAAGCAGCAGGCAAGAAATCAGCTACATGAGGCAGTCCACGAACCGCTGATGACTGAAAGATCAAAAAAATGTAGACATTTTGCTTTTTACATCCATTTGATGCTGGTTTCGATAGATACTGGCTATGCAATCTGTATCTCGTTCTGGCTGCTCTGCAAGCAGTGAAATTGCTTTAAATCTTTTTTAGAGAGTTTTCAGCTGCTAAGAGAAGCAGATTTGAAATCAGGATCCCAAAACTAATCTAATTATGAGCTTTTCATGTAAGAAAGCCGAGTACCCTTCCATTACGAGTATCGCTGGATCATTTGTAACTTGTATGTGCATTTGCACACCATGTGCGCCACTTGACGAATTGTAATACAGAGCTACTTTGCAATTTCTCCTTGTTTCCTCATCCTTTTTGAAAATTGATTGAGAATGTAGTGATTTCTAAACATTTCTATAGTTTATCACGCTAAGAAGGTTTAAATTGAAAACTTACTGGTAACAATGTCGTGATTGCCACGTGTAGTGTGCAGTCTCACATATTAAGTTGAAAATAAACAGATACTATCTATTAGGTTGTAACAGAATTATTGCAGGTTTTTCGCGCACCTTTTTCAAAATACTGGTTTAGAACGGAAAAGTGTTTTTTGAGAGAGTTTTGCATACAGTCGAGTAGATTCAGCGGTAAATGTAGTGTGCTTGCACAGAAGGTGAAATGCGGTGAAATTTGCGCGTGAACAAGTAGCCACGTCAGTACCGCGGGTATCTTGCGCGAGCAATTGGCCGGCGTTACAGTTGAAACTATTTCTTCACGCGCCAATTTCACCGCATTTCACCTTCTGTGCAAGCACACTATATTTACCGCTAAATCTACTCGACTGTATTATCTAAAAGCTCTTTTCTTCTATTTTCTTATGCATTCTTTCGTTTCAGAGAAAGCCCATGAATTTAAGGAAACAAGCTCGAAATTCTTTCTTTTAATACATCTGGCTCTAAAACCACCAAAACAATCGGAATTAATTGCAGATTTACATAACATTTTTGACTGAGCTATGTTACAAAATGCATGTTGAATCATAAATTCTGGAAATATCTGAGCCGAGAAATTTCAGAGCAAAATTCAACGGTCGCTTGGTCCGCCTGCCCTATACAAAAATCCTCAGCGCGAAGCTACTGCGGAGCTTCCGCTCTACATAGGAAGAATAGATTTTAGATATGGCTGAAAAAATCGAGAGCCGTTCTCCCTATTCAGCTTTGAAAAAATACAAACGTTTTAGAAAAGCGATTTTTCAAATTCTCAGAAAAGTCGAAATGAGTACTTTCAGAATTTTTTCATATATCCTCTCGCAAAAAATTCTTTTTCAATTCCGAATTTAGCGCTGCTGCCAACCATAGGCTACACAGTGAGTATACTTGCGCTACCTTACTACACTTGATAGTAAGTTATGGTCTCTCAAATTGAAGGTTTTCCGAAAAATTCTTAACAGAATTCTAGCTATAAGATTTTTCTTACTGAAGCTACAACAACATAATAAGTCATACTGAGTTGAAAAAGGTTTGCTGATTACAACAATTCTTGTTGCACACGGAAAGACTATTTGTTTAAAAAGTTACAATGATTCAAACAAAAATTCAGAAAACTTGCATTAATTCTGTTACAACTTAATAGTCTGATTTGGAGAACAACTTTTCTCGATGAAACAACTCATTAGACGGAAATGGCAGCACTATCCGATTATCCTAAGCATCAAAAAAGAATACTGCTTTCATTTTAATATTCTCTGACTTACTTAGCAGTCACAAAAAAAGTTACAGATCTTTCCTTTGTCAATCTTCATTAATGTTGCAATCATTTGATTAAGGTTACTTAGTGTATGCCAAGCGTGACTGCAAATCTTCTGCAGATAGTTACCAAAATTTTTCCGGGGAAAGGAGGGGAGGGGGCGGGGGAAAGAAGATAGGCCGAAAGTTTCCACAGAAATTTTGAACGAAATTTTCATAATGCTTCCGTTTGTACCAAAAATCTAGAAAAACGGATATCGAGACTATTTGATTTTCTAAGAGCCAATTGAATTGTTTACAGCTGATAAAGATATAAAGCTTAGGGAGCGCACCTCTATAATTGAACAATTTATTTCAACGCGTTTAATTGAGCTAATATTTTAGGTCCATAAAATCGCTAAAAATGTGATTGCGACTGTTCTACCTTGACTGTCAGAGTTTTCCCAGTTTTCGCAAATGGTGGAAAAACGAGCTAATTTTGTCCTGTTCACTTGCTCCAAGCCCACGCTCGAACTCAGCGCAGGAGAAGATCTTGGAAGTCAAAATAAGCGAATTGAAAATCTGCTACCATTGACTTCTTCATTCATTTGGTACAATTGCACTATGGTTAGCTGCCCAAATGTGGTCAACAATCAACAGCCATTTCAATGCGACAAATTCGAAGAATCCACTAAAGTGCAATTGCACTAGAATGGCAAAATTTTACGCTAAACACGCTGTAGTAACTATGTTTACAGTAAGTTTACCATGTTATGTAAACCATTGAACCCTCTCTTTTAGTTATTTTTGATTATATTTTCCAACGGAAAGGTAGGATCAGTGTTAAGTTGTAGTTTGAAAGATGGGCATCTATAGTGGGATCAGTTATAACTTCATACGTGAGATTGCACAATGTGCGCGTCACTTCACGACAACTTTGAGCAAATAGTAGAGATTGAATAAACAGAAAACGATAACCATTATGATAAAAGTGACTGCTTAAAAATGATCGATTCTTTTTTTATTTTTGTACGCACGAAAAAGGAAAACAAGAAAGTCGCAAATTTGGCAACTAAAGCACTCAAGACGTGACGTGACGTACCGCGCGTGTTGTGTAATACACATAAAGTTACAAATAATTCTAAACGTCCTAATGTTGAGCAAAAGATGTGATTGCGGACAACACGTTCTATCTAAACGACTTATATGCTTCTACGGGATAGTGCCGGATAAAAGGTGTGATTGCGGACAATGTTCATACGTAGTTCTGCACGCGTGTGCAAAGAGGAAAGGTTGAAACCTCTTTAACCTAATCTTTTTTCCATTTATTTTCTTTTTTTCCTTTCATATACATTTTCATCATCTTTTTTCGCCTCTAGCTGGAATTCCCGCTCTCAACCAGGAAAGAGTATTGCCTATGCATTTGCATGCGTCCAAAAACAAATGAGTTCTCGAATTCCCAGAGGGACGCGAGCATGTCGTGTGTGTAGTTGTGCGTAAGCTGAGGCGGAAGCACACAACATGAACGCCATTTTGGATATCAGGTAACACGCTTCGTTTCGCCTACGCTTGATGACGTAGAGAGCAAAGCATGAGTCCTGGATTGAACAGCTGCCGCTTATAGTATAAACTAGACGCAAATGGTCTAGAAATGGAATTTAATGCAAGTTGGATAGATAATTAAATTTAGTGCATAAAATACTTTTTTGTCAACAAGGTGGAAGGAAAGAATTGTTTTTTTTGTTTGAGTTTTTTGACTACTTCTGAAAAAAAGTCTTTTTGCGATAGAAAAAGTTGAAAAAGGCATATCGCAAGGAAAATGGAGTAAAAGAGAGTCACCTTTTGATTTAAGCAACACATTTTTCGAATTCAAAAAAAAGTAAGTTTCATATTTTTTTAAAATTTTATTACCCACTTTGAAAAATAATGCCTGTAAGACGGGTTACAATCTATAAACATACTATTGGCAATAAGGAGCAACTGCTTAAAACAGCTATAGTCGCCGTCAGCTTACGAGCCAATTGGTGCAACTGCACAAATTCCTTCTAGCATGCCAAACAAATCTGATTTTTATTTGCTATTTTTTGTTGCCATGTTCTTCTTGAAGGGTAATCATCATTGTAGCTGTGTTTTAGCTGATTTTTTTCATGGGTTAATTTTCATGTTACTTGTTATTTTCACTTTGCGATACCTCAAAATTAAATGAGATGATCGGATTGAATAGTGTGCCCTTGCACACTTTACTGTGGGAATGACGTCATATGGGTTCATGACTACAACAGCATGACGTTTGAATTGACTCTAAAGTGCAATTACACCTTGTACTACAACTCAGGTTGTGATTGGGTTATAGCTCAATTGCTACTACAAAAGTGACGTTTAGATCATAAGTAAGATTATAGCTCAATCGTTACTACAAAGTTGCTCGTTCAGGTCATGAGCGGGTTGTAGCTCAATTATTGCTACACAATAGTTTGTACTCGACGACACTAGCCATTCCTGCTCCATTGATTCAAATAAAATGAACTGAAGTGGAAAGCAGTTGTGCGAAAACTGGTCTCCAAAGTGTTATGAAAAGCATGCAAGCAAGCTGTTTTTACTTGATCGGAAAAACAATTTGAAAGATTAGAGATTTAGTAAGCAAGGAAATTGCAATAAATATGCTGTAAAACATATGCAAACTTGCCGTAGTAGGCCGTTCACAGCATATGAAAACTGGTCCCTGCAAAATTGTCCTCACTCTAGCATAAAAATCAATTAGGTTCAAGTAATTATTCATTATGTGCAGTCCAATCAGATCTGAGTACTTGGACTTTTTATCTAGAACACGATCAGGGAGGTGGAGGGGGCACACTAAGACAGTGTAAAAGTGGTCTTACGGTTGACTTACGGCTGAGAAGTTCAGCTTTATATCTCGTCCATACCGTAATCATGACCACTACAGTACCCTGGGGGAGAGGTTTGAGGTTGCATTTCTCAGCCAGCAAGAAACGTTAGTTTGCACAATTCAAGTTCTACCTACTACCTGTTGCTCTTTTGAGTGCACAGCTATAATTTCTGACATCAGCGGAACCAGAAATCACGGTAAAACAAAAAAATTGAAAATCAACAATAAAATCGCTCACCTGTACACTTGAATCATCAGATCGCAGCGAGTGCACTATCAATTCCATACATTTGTCCTCGACCTTATCATCTGACAATCGTCGAAACAGCGAGCTCATATTCTCCAGAACAAACGATCTCAACTGAAAATGAACAAATTTAGTTCAAAAGTCCAAATGCGGAGGACTATGAGAGCAGCAGGAACGCTATTTCCATTCCCGCAGGGCATAATGATAGATGGGCGGAGTTGTGCCCATTTAGTGAATGACCTTTTGGGAAAATATGCTTACCCAGAACTTTCCTAGGAATGCTCTTAGAGTACGGGAGGTTAGAAATACATAATGAGATTGTTTCGATGTCATCCTAGACTTGTTCTATTTTCAGAAACAAAAAGTTTGATCAAGGATTGTTTAAAGAGTATGTATTGTTGCTTTCTATGGTAACATTCTTGCATTTACGCAATAATATTTAAATTTTTGATAGTAACAAGGAAAGAACAACAAATGGACATTATCTTACTGTATCTGCATTAACGTGACACAAATATAAGTAAGATAAAATTCAGTGGTCTACCAAATCAAGCTAACATTACAGCAGAAACTTTTTGCTCCGCTACAGTATGCTACAGTAACCTTACGGCAGATAAAACATAAAAACTGAACAGATTGTGGCATGATTTTTGTAAGCACAAAAAATCCATTTTCCACATTTTCTTACACAATAAAAAAGTTAGTCCTAGTGCAGTTACGACGGCAATGCTGGATTACTGTAGAATTATGGTACGAAAGGGTGCAAAAGGGTCGCTCGTAACCTTACATGGAACGATTTAGTTTTTAAGTGGGAGAAATGCCACTCCTCTGAAATATCGTCTTATTCAGTCCCGGCGTTGAAGTGGGTTACGGCAGAGTAGTAGTGCATTTTATGTGCGAAAGGGTCCATTCCCAATCGGGAGGGGGGAGGAAGACATGAAATGAGAAATAATGAAAAATAGCCACGAAAGATAGCGGATCATCTGTGAGATGGTATTTCAAGCTTAGATTACTTTTAAGTTACACTCAAACGCATATTTCTTATGCATTCTCTACAGTAGGCTACCCATCCTGTAGGACGCATGATGATAAAGGCCATTATTGTGGCATACGCATATATGGAAAATGGTCCACATAAAAAGATGGGGAGGGGGTAGATATGGCAATCAGTTAAAAGGATAAAAGATTACAAGAGGGAGCATTATTAGAGTGAGCCCTTGGACTGGTATCACTTTTACATTCTTACAGTATTCTGCCGTAACCGTAGGCGCACATCATGTTACCGTAACCGCACGCAAACAACATTAGGCTCAGTATGTTTGCAAAGATGCTAGAATTACATGCCATAATGTTGAAACCCCTACGGAAAAAAAAGTTCAGCTTGTGAAGCGGTCGATAGCATTGGATTACGGTAGCACACGTATATGTGCAAAAAGGTCCACTCAAAAATAGAGGCGTGAAGTAAAGCTGATGGTAAATAATCAAACAAAATGAAGGACTACACGGATTCTAAATTCAATAATCTCCTGTAAACAATAGTACAAGATATTTTTATCGTTTTAATAAAGCTACGGCAGAGCGCAGCTCATTTGCTTTTTCAAAGCCAATTACTGAAATTACTTTAATTGCGATGGATAATTTCGAAGACGCCATTTGCATCCTCTAGCAAAAAAGTGAAAAATTCTGCAGCTCGCATGGAAGAAGACAGGGCATTTAAATGCATGAATCTACGTAAAAATGCACAAATCAAGAAAATCGAACAATAGCAACATTATATAATGACATCAATGCGTATTCATGCAGATAATTCGCCATTCCCCTGATGCTTCGTTATACCCTCACTTTGACGTCATCACAAGAGGGGAATAATTGGCATAGCTGGGGCTAATTGGGTTACGTGACTTATCTTCCAATGCTTGCACCTTTTCATGACGTTAGGGCTGTAGGGCTCATTGGGGGCATCACATGAACAAGGTCACAGTAACCATATGGAGGGGGGAGAGGAGGGGAAGTAAAATGAATAGAATTTATTTTGACGCATATAAGTACGGACTAATTGAGGTAGATGTCTGGTAAAAATACCGTAACCCTGCGAGGGAAGTAAAGTGGAAAAATGCATTGAAAGGAATGGAGGACTATAGTCGCCAAAAAGAGGTGGCCCCACGCGAATATCTCCGACAAAGCGCGCAACACCCCACGCTACAGCACTGCAGATTTATATCACCTGTCCGCGGAGGTGGAGCCTATCGGCGACATATAGTCCCCTATCCCATTCAAAGAAGGTTACGACCGTTTGGGATGAAGTCTGGTAGGGTTACCGTAATCTTGCGAGGGAAGTAAAATGGATGGATTTTTTAGCACAAAGTTTATAGGCGTAAAGTATGGTAGAGCTACCGTAACCCTGCGGAGGAAGTAAAGTGACTCTAATTTAATTTCCCCAATATAGGTCATGGACTCATTGGGATGATGTCTGTCTTTTTCAGGCTTTAATCAACTAAAGCCGCTGCTCAGAATGCAAAAAAAAGTTAAAGGGGTTATTACGAACCAGTGCGTCACCTCTGCTGCGCAGAGGTTCGCACTGGCTATACCATCCGTGCCTTCTTCGTGATAGCATAATAATGACTTTGAAACTCACCGCGCGATGCTGAACATCACGAATGAATTGTAAACAACCATTCATTTTTAGAGCTTTTCCATGTAAGATCGGTAATTTTGGGAGAAAAAAATTTCCCGCAGAAAAACAATTGCGATTTTGAATGGGTTACTGAATTTATTTTGGCTTTATAGTCGCCATAAGGATAAAGACCACCTTGAGCTACATACTTACTCAAAAATCCTCTCAATTTTTATAGTAAAAACTTGGCAAATCGACAGTTTGCTCAGTTACATCTTTTTGGCGCCAATTTTGTGTAAAAATAGTATTTTTGCTTACTTTTTAAGCTGAAGTCAATATTTTTCGGATTTACTTGCTGAACGAATCCAAGACTTTGCAAAACGTCCAGTTACCGACCCATTTTGGCGGGCCAAAAGTCGCGTGGATCCGTTTGACGCACAGTTTTCGATGGTTACACTTACTGGATCGGCTTGGGATTTCGCACAGTTTACCTACACTCTGACAGGGTGCTGTAACCAAAATTCTAGATCGAGACGCTGGCTGCAACTCGCTCTGTGAATTTCGTGACAGACAGATATATACACACACAGACAAACAGACAGACGCTTAGCGCTTTATTATAAGTCATGATGATTAGATGCAGTGTCCGGACATATGCAAGACTTCCATTTTCTTTGTTTTCAACTTTTCGAGACGCTGATTTCAAAAAATGAAACCCAAGAGGCCCAGATCCTTCACTCCCCCTTCCCATTGAGAATGTTTTTTCGGGTGCCCGGGCGCTAGACTTGTCGAAAACAAGTTCAAACACGTTAAATAGTCCATGCCATGTGAAAACGCGTCAAGGGCTGGATGTCGTACGGGGAGGCGGGCGGCGCACAAGAGTGGGCGGGCGGCACATAGGAGTGGGCGGTCCGCACACGGATCTAGCGATTTGCAGGGCGATTTTCTCGTTATAGAGACTGTAATTTAAAGCCGGGTTTGCGCAGAGGCTCTATTTCGAGGTCCTTAGACTCAAAAAATTATGTTGGTATCTGAGATTTTCAAATTTGCCCGAACACTCCCTTCAAACTCGTCCCCTTCCCTGCTCTACGCTCAAACTCAAACGGACTAAATTTGCACTTGGCTGAGTAATCAGTGGTCAAAATTAGCACTGCTGCCAACAGCAGATTACACACAATTTACGTCATTACCCGCTGATTTCAAACGCGATGTATTTTTAGAAGTGCAAACGGCTGCCCAAAGCTCTCATGGAAATTGTTCTTGCATACATTCAACCAGCGTCATCATGAGTTACTGCAAATGACAGCAGGGTAAGCTGAGATCACAGTGACGAAAACATTTCGCTTCAGTGGAGCAGTGAATCATAAGCGCAAATGGCTAGGTTGCATGCATTATTCTGAGATTTATGATTTTGCTCGAAAATGCGAGTGGGTTGAATTTATAGCTTATGCGTTTGGCCATAAGATATATTGGCATTTTTGCCATTACCAAATTTTTGAAGCAGCTCAGAACAGGGGGCGACATTCGCAGCGGCGCGGTCACGCAACGCGTCGCTCGGAAGGGGGAGGGAGAATGAAATGTTCAAAAGCGTCAATCAGTATGGATTTCTTGCAGAAACTGATAGGCTTGCCATAATTAGGCCGTTGTCCAAGCGGCAGCTTGGTTGTAATGACAGAGAAAACTAAACTTTTGCCAGATACCGTAGTGATCCCGGGCGGACCAATCAGCGTGCTCGAATACGATACTGGGTGAGAATTTGAGTTGCATGTCTCGCCTAAGATTAGATCATGGGAATTTATGGATGAAGCACAATTAAAGCTAGTTTTTATGGGAGGAGTTTAAGTTTGAGCAAAGATTTGGAAGAAATCATTGTTCTACCAAAAAAGCGCACAATTGACCCTTTGTTCAACTGGCCTGGCGGCTGGAAGGCGGGGCTTCGTGACCTAAGTGAGGTAGATAATGATCAGAGAGAGCTCGCGCGAGAGAGAGACGCAGATTGGTCGCATGCGCGAGAGCGGCCCCAATTAGGTCACAAAGCCCCGCCTTCCAACCGCCAAGCCAGTTGATCAAACGCTAAAAACACATCTTATATATAAAGCTGAATGTGTGTATGTCTGTCTGTCTGTACGTATGCGCGGAATAGAAATTTTTATTTCTGAACCGATTCGGACCAAACTTGGCACACATACACTTCGGGGCAGGGAGCGTGTCATAGGCTACCTTTCGTATCGATCGATATCGATTTTATCGATTTTTTGCAAAATTTGAGCTACAGGGCTGGGAATTGGCACAGGGGGGTAATCGAGCATGCTGATTACAAATATATTATTGACAGGCCCGGGCGGAGCCGGGTTTGCCAACTAGTTTGAAATAAAGTGCAAAGAAAAAGCTATTCTCAATTGCGGATGCAACCAAAAGTATGAACTGAGCGTAACTTGAAACTCTTACATTATATTTTTTTGAAACAGGGGACAGAACTTCTATATTTTTTGCTAGGGTT